TAAATCCTAGAAAGTCTTCGGATGGTTGCCGTTGTAAGTTTCACGGTCGACGAGTAATTCCGACCTCACCTGTAGAAAGGGGAACTTCCAGATCGGAAGACGAAAAAAAGGTGCTTGCAATGAATCGAACCCCAGACCCTAGACCCTAAACCCTAAATCCTAAACTCCCTAAACTTGCATCTACTGATAATCCAGGAAGCGGAAACGCGGCAATTTAAGTTTAAGTTGCCGTTCCTGTGACTGCTCTACTTTGGGTAGTTCTCTAAATTCGGCTCCTTCTTCTTAGGGTCCTACGATACTAGGGCTTAGGGTTTTAGGGTTTGGGTTTAGGGTTCCTCTTTGAGGTTACTATACCGTTCCATAACATTAGTTGCCAAGTCCATGTACCTGTAAGGAGAGCACCCCGAGCAAACAGTAATGATATTCGGGTTTCCCATTGTAGGTATACTAGAATGTACCTCAAAATCCTATCGCAATCATCAAGGCTCCTGCATGCAGTTCGTGTCATGCTTCGTGCGAAGGTGACGCCAAAACGATGGCGGAATCCAGCTTGGTTCTAAAGAATACATAGCCCCGCCGTGGTCATAACCCTACTTAACTAAGCTTTTGAATGCTGCAACAGAACTCAAGAGCCCTCCAGCAACGCAAGGGCCTGAGTAGTTGGTAGCAGTATTCCTCAGGGTTCCTGTTTGTTATATCATAATATGCAGCTCTCAAACTCACTTCAAACTATGAAGGCCCTACATTACACCTTGATAGCACCCAATGTAATCGTCAGTTTGGGTTGCGGCTCGAGCGCTGCAGAGACGGCACAGTCCCGGATTGGGGTAACCTCTCAGCTGATAAAAAGTCGCACGGCCTTCGGCATCAAGTTCTGCAGCAAAGCACGAACCCCGTAAGAGAAGCAACCACAACTCCTCCAAGCTGTAATTCTCTTAGCAGACCTGAGGGCGAGTTTCAGAAAACGCTATAGAACCATAAACCTCGGATCCTTAGTGTACGATTTCCGAGATCTCTCAAAAGCAAACTAAAGTCTTCAATGATAATGATATAACGGCTTGAAGCCCGGTCCGGAAGGAAGAGCAGCGTGACGAGCCTGCTCCCAGCTGTACAGAAGAAAGGCACTGCACTCAAAGGGATTTAGGGCAGCAGTGTTTAGGGATTTTAGGGCCTGGGGTTTGGCTCTGGGCATGGATTGAGATTTGGGGGCTTGGTGTTTCGGGGAGGGCAATTCATCGAGGCGTGGGGTGGAGGTGTCGATACCATCAAGGGTTCTATGCACAGCGAATCGCAACATACCGACTACTGGCTCTGCAGGTGCACATGCGTCATGTAACCTTGCAGGGAAGTCCTCCCAACATTCGACCGCTACACCTATCAGCTCTAAGATGAAAGGTCGTGATCGTTGAGCTGTATGCTTTATGTAGCTTTATATAGCCTTATGCAAGTCTTGTAAACCTAGGCCGGTGAAGTAGTCCCCCCCAGCTCTAGCCCTCCAGACCGAAATCCCGCAGACCCTAGGCGAATGGATCTTGCCTTCAGACACCAGTCCGTACCCACCCCAGCCCCGGCCTGAAAAACTTAACCTATCCCCTCGAGACCATGGCTAAACCACCGGTAGAAGGATCCAGGGTTTCAATGACTGCTCTTGTTCTTCCTGCAGAACCTCATGCGCATCTGTGGACCCGTGAACCGAACATCCCAAACCCTGTGCCAACCTGTGAATTCTATACTTATAATAGCAAAGCCATAAGAAGTTCCTGATTCTCAAAACTCTGAGTTCCCTTCAATTCAAGCCCTGAACCGCAGCCTTGAATCCGAATTGAAGGCCTGAGTCCGAGACGGGGAAGCGCCCCCGAAGGCTCTTCGGAGTCTCGGATTCTCTTTGGGTTTTCGGGTTGTGCTAGGCCTCGTGGGTTGAATTCGGTGATGCTCTTTTCTTGGCCGTTATATACAATATCACTCCGTGGTTTATGCCTTGGGCTTCCAGGTGTAGAGGCATTTCTCTCGCGCACTAAGTTGCAAATCCTAACTCAGACATGCCAGGGTGACTCTTGGCTTTCAGGCGATTGTCGAAGTCTCGATGAGTAATTTGGGTGTTCACCGGTGGCATGTAGGGTTTCAGGGCTAGTAGGGATATGTACACAATTAAATTGTGCGGCCCGACTCTCTGTCGGGCCTGTTCTTGCGTTGGGAACGGGCACAATTGTTTAGTATGTGCGCCTGGCTATGGTGCGCACTACATGCGATCCGTGCAGCCGCCTCCCTGTAAAGCTAGGATTTATCCTCGACATGTTTGAATCCATCCAGTACTTGGGTGGAGCCACTTTGGCTGTGTTCCTGAATCCCCGCCAGTGGATGGGGGAAAGCATGTTGGCTGGTCTCTGCCAGTGTGGTCTCCCGATCGTGGTGGTTGTCGTGGTGGCGGTTGTCTTGGTCGTAAATGTCGCCGTTCTCGTCATGGTCGTCGTAGTGCTGTATCACTGTTTCGGGATTTACGCCGGCATAACTAGGGTTTGCGGAGCTTTTTGTGTCTTGTAGCAGGACTCAAACCCTAAACTCTAGACTTTTCGGCAAAATGAACTTTGAACCGTATATGCCTATAGGGTGGTTAAGATCGGGGTTTAGGGTTTGGGGATCTGGCGCATAACCTGAAATTCTAAATCCTAAACCCGATGGTGCAGAAACTTGCCTTCTAATTGCTCTTTAAACCTGAAGTTTGTCGGCAGAGAATTCAGGTCGAAATTGGAGCTCCTACCCGAACCCGGCAAGATATTTGTTTGAGGCTTCAGGTGTAACTAACCTCGAACCCTAAAGCCTTCATCTCCTCAGACCCCAGGCGCCTAAACCCTTGAACCCGAAGCGCCCTGCAAACCTGCAGTTTCCAACTTACTGTTAGCAAGTCAAACAACGCGGCAGGCCCCGCTGGAACACCAGTATCGCAGCCGCATGGCCGACCTGAATCGCTTCGGAGAGGCCAAGCGGAGGGCTATTTTCAAGGAGCTTGAGGGCCTAGAGGTGAATGAAGTTAAGGACGACTTCGCTTTCGGTTTGTGGCTGAGGTTTGAGGGTTGTGGGAAGGTTGCCAGTGGTAATTTTGCCGAACCTGGCTTGCGACCACTGGGTGATCTTGAGATGTTCGGGTGTAGGTTCGATTCCCGTCCAACAGCCAGGGGACCACAACCCTGAAATCTTTCCGTCTATAACTCCTGAAACCCTGAAAACCCCCCTAAACCCAAGTGCTGAACCATACTAGGACCAAAACACCACTGAGTCCAAGATCCATGTACTCACTTCTCGTCCCTGTATGAATATTCGGCCTCAAAGCCCTATTCTGATTATGCGGCTGGCGCCGGGCAGGCGCCCAGACCCCCTTCAAACCTTGGCCGATCCCCAGAACGAAGGCCAAAACGAAGAACCCTCAAGACATTCTTCGTTGTTGCCTTCGGTCGGACCTTCGTTTTGGAAGAACGAAAAGTGATAACCAAGGGTGTGTGATGAGGGAGGTTAGTTCGTTTTGCAAGAGCGAAAATGAGAACGAACCATGAGGGGACCCAGAACGGTTTCCAAGAACGAACATGCAAACGCACAGGCCACAGCCGGAAATAAAACTGCCACGATAAGATATTGCTGTATAAAGCCACCTGTGCGGCTGTGAGCTTCGCATAAGGGTTCTGCACAAAACGAATTGAGGCTGCCAGGATCCCAAGACCGAGCCAACCAGATGAATTCACACAAGACGCGTGCTAACAACCTCAGTTTTGCTTCCATGCTTCAAACCAAGCAACAGCACTGGTACGAAGTGACGAATTCCTCGCCGCTGCTGAGTATTTTGAACACTGCCTCCATCTCTGACGCTGAGCTTCTGCATAAGTGTGGGCGCCTGCTCGGATTGGCGAGAAGTATTTAGGGCCCTGTACACATAACATTATAAAGGTAGCTAGCTGAATTGCAATGAAGATGTAAAGGCGTAAATGGGCCCATACACTATTTTCACTCACATGCAGATATATATGAGCGACTGCTTTTATTATCATGTGGGAGGCCATACTTTGCAGAGATAAAATTAATCAGAATGCTCCATTCGTTGGAAAAACGATAGGCCCCCCGCAAAAGCGATACCCTCAGTTCTGCTGTGGGTTTCAGATGCGCTCGCCAAGCTTCGGGTTCAAGTTCTACTCTACTGCTACTGCTGCTTTCCAGTACTAGAGTTGCACTGCAACCCGGCACAATCCAGCCAGAACCCCGCACGAGGCCTTTCCCGTACTAAAGTTGTACTACAACCAAGCACAATCCAGCCGCCTGCATCCGAAACGAGCCACTTCCAGTAGTAAAGTTGTACTACAATCCAGCACAATCCAGCCAGGACCCCAACCGAGGCATTTCCAGTACTGAAGTTGTACTACAGCCAAGCACAATCCAGCCTGCATCCGAAACGAGCCACTTCCAGTACTAATGTTGTACTACAGTCCAGATTTTGTTTTTGAATTAGCGCGCCCCCTCTCTTTTACGAGGAATTCGCCAAATAATTTTGACGCCGACTCCTATGCTCCTCTACTACTCTTTTGCCGTTTTCCTCCTGCAAAGCGATAGGTTTGTAAGAACAGTTGGTTGCAAGTCCCGCAAAACGATTGGGCACCCCCCAAAAGCGACAACCCATAATTTTTATTTAGCAGCAACCTAGGAATTTTTGTGGTAGCTCATACTATGGCAAAGTCGGGCTGTTTGAGAGATCAGTCCTGGCCGTTTGCACTGTCATGCCCAGGTATCAGAGGACTTACGTGACTTTCGTCCATGGAGAGATCAATGAGACCAGTCCGCTTTTCATAGAACTGCTGTAGGGCCTTCTTGCGAAAATACCCTAAGTTGTAGCCTAAACCCTAACCCGGCATCTTGCCAACTGGCTCCTCCCGGGGGAAGTCTTTAGGCGAACCGGGCGAACGGCAAAGAGCCCTAAACAAAAAGCTTCAGCTAAAGGGCCGCCTCCAAGAAGAGCTCAGGAGACTTATTTCGGACTCAAAGAGGAGGCCAAGACCAAGAAGGTCCCGGGCACCATCCTCACCACAGAGGACAGTTCATCCCCCTTCTCGTCCTTTGGCGCTGGGAGCTTAGGGGGTTGTAGGAGTCTGAAACTAAAATTTGCATCATTATCCGTATTCCGGTGGAGGGCTGCGTATGAGGCAGAGGGTTAAATTGACAATCGTTGCTTGCTCTGCGTGAATCCCGATCCAGCTTTCGCCTCAGGTGCACAAGGTCTTTCCTGATGGCTCCATGGTTGTGGGGGGCCTTGGCTATCTGAAGCTGGAGGAATTGCGCAAGAGCATCAACAACGCAAACCTTGCAGGGGTTGGTAAAGAGTGCTGAGCCATTCCTGGGAACAGGTCCTGCTGAGAGGTGCTGAGACAGTGACGGCATGCTCCGAGGTGAAGCTGTTTTCGCGACGCGACCTGCACGACTCAGACATCCAGCCTTTGTTTCCCAGAGCAGGGCTCCAAGTCGGCCACAGGGCGCAGGCATGGAGGGGTTGTAGGTTTGCTTGAAGAGATGGGGTCCATTGCACGCACCAGGAGCCGGATGTAGTCTTTCATGGTCCCCAGTGGTGATGCTGATGGTGACGGTTACAGCCAACGTGATTGCCATGATATGGTTCGCAGTCATTGCTTTTGCAGCTTCAGTCGTGACACCCCGTTCTCCGTCACTCTCCATCAGAAGCTTCCTCTCAGAAGATCCGTTGGTTTCGGTAGAATGGGGGAGAGTGCTGTCTGAGAGAAAATCTCAGTGGGGGTGTAGGTTGCTTGTCGTTGCCAAAGGACGCGTTCATTCATGTTTCAGAGCACGAGGAGCAGCGAGCATCGGCACACAGGAGCAGAAATGAGACCAGCGACGCATGAGTGGTGGCAGGGGCGGTAGCCGCCGCAGCAGCACGGTTGTTGTTATTGAAGCCTTGCGAGCAGTAGGACAGTCAAAGAGGAGAATAATTAATATAGATTGTAATACTTTAAGTCCATTGCAATCTAGTTCAGTCTTTCTTGAACACGAAGTCCCAGGTCTTCGCGACCTTCAAATACGTCTGGGCAGCCTATCCCAAGCTCCAGCCGCTGGCCCGTGAGAACTGGGCGAGTTTCAGGCCTGGCTTTTGTCGATGTCGATTTTCATGAGTGGGAAAACACAGGGTGTGGGACTTGGGGACTTAAGGTTTGAGGCTTTTTGCTGGGCTTCTTGGACTTTAGTTCCAAGGAAGCAGATCATGTGCATCAGCATTGGAAGTGCACCAGTGCAAACAACATTCCTGACAATAGTTCATCCACAGTCGTCGTCATAGTTCCTGTAGATGTCGATTGCGTTGCCGCTGTGGAACTTGTTTTCGAGTGTGTCGACGGTGCCTATACTACCTTGATTTGTACTGGCATAAAGCCTCGATCACGCACCCGCACACATCTATCCATACATGTGACCGCGTACAAGTGGTCCTACACTGAGAATCCTCATCACGAGACCGAAGCCCCAAGCTTCATAAAAACCCAAACCCTTCAAGCCCTATGATGAGCCGCAAATCCCAAGCCTTACAAACCGCAAAATCTCTGTAAACCCCAAACCCTATGAACCCCAAATCTATGTGGGCATTGATCTATAGGTCCTTGTCGCTGTATTTGTACAAACGACCACGCGCATAACATAACATGCCACCGCGAAAGTTCCGCAATGTTTTTTGTTTGCCAAAGTTACTCCGTTAGCCTGCTTGACAACAACAACTACTACCACCACCACCGCCACCACCACCACCGCCGCCAACCACCACCACCACCACCCACCACCA